GAACGCCGCGCCAAAGGAAGACCGTCAGTAGGTTGAAACGGACTTCGTCAAAACAGCAATGGCCGAGGAGATTTCAAGGTTTCAAATAATTATCACCAACTGCTAAAACTTCGTTAAATTTTCTGCGGTTAAGATCATGATTCAAATGCATTTTGGATGTGCCTAAGGATCGGTCTCAAATGTGAGTGAAGTTGTACAGTTATGTTGCACGTCGAAGTCTCAAAAATTTCGAGTGGCCGATGTCGTCTTAGAAGTGTTATCTACCTTGGAACTGGTAGACTCCCCGCTGTCGCTGTTAGGCGGAAGTCAGCACAGGGCGGCGGACAGAGAAGGGTTGTCCGAATGCACGGGGCCGAACGAGCACCGCAAGTAAAATTGTTTGATTTGTGGGCAGGTAAAGTTGAAAGTTCAGTGCAATCTGATCCACCGGCCCAGCAGTTAAGAAGGAGCTCGTCCTAGAGACGGATGGAACCAGGCAAACAATTTTTTGTGGGCACAGGAAAATCGATGAGCTGGCAGATGTGGCTCCCTTAAGAGTGTGTAGAGAGTAGTTGCAGGTATCTCTTTAGACTCATCATTGTATTACCATGATTCGGTTTCTTGAGAGCCGCGTGAGGGCAGTGAGGTTTGAGGCGACCTGGTAGGTCACCGAGTATTTACTTTCTCAGGAAGACGGCGAGAGCTAAATCACTGTTTTGGCTCAAAACTACTTCCCATGAACTCATTCGACGGACTAGTTTGTTGTGAGTTTGCCTTCATCGTAACCCGCCTGCCCCTAGGACGCGTGCGATCACACCATTTCTGCAAGTTAAATTCCTTTAGTTTCCTCGGCATGTATTTGGCTCCTAAGTCATCTTTTTTGCTTTCGTTTATCCATTCCAGGTGGCCATATATATCATTTTTATTCATCATTGTCGCTTCACTCGCTTAGCTATTCCCACTCTAGGTTGATTGGCAGTTTTGGACAAAAATCCATCAACCGTACACCCATATGGCGACGTTCGCGATTTGGCCTTAATTACGTCGCATATATGCCATATCCACTGGTAAATGAATCCATCACCGCGAAATCCAGGCGCCGTTCTGCCGCAAGTAGTGACCTCTAACCCTAGACCGGCATGACATTTCGGCTGATGAGACCGCCTTGCGAGCGGGATGACGCCAACGTTTTGCCGTGGATGATGCTGTGTTTATTCTGGCCCGCAAAAAGGCCCAACCTGCCCAATGTCTTTCTCCACTGAGGTGGCTTTTCTGCATTCAACCGCCACCTAAGCCCCTTGGACTGGTATGGGCCCCTAACTTGAAGCTCTGGGAAATATACATGACAACTCACACACAAGACCCTAAAATCCCGTAAACCCACTTTTTTTACCCCCTTTCTGGCCGCCTTGAATGTTCGGTCAACGCTCAAAGCCTCTAAGCAGACAGCGCAAAATTTAAGGGTGCAATGTATGAACCGGGTGCTTCACTTTTTACCAAACCAGGAATTCTATCGTGAAAGCTTTTGAACCACTTGAACAAACGCACCAGACAGAGGGATACAAGTTAAGACGAGGCTCAGTGCGTGTTGCTGTTCCGATAGCCACGTGCAAGTCACTTCGTACGATCTGTCTGTCCGTCCACTTCATCCCGCTAAAACGGCTGCTTTAGAACCGGTAACGTATGTTGCCCGAGTGACCTTGATGGATGGGTTGACAGCTTTGAGTTCCCAAGCTTTTTATCTATCACCGGCTAAGTATCTATTGAGAGCTTATAGCTCCCAAAACAAGGGCGGGACCTGTGCTGGCCTGACAGTTATAGACCATGTGTCAGACCCTCCCTATAAGTTCGCACAGAAAATCAACTGTTGAATTGCGCAACCAGTTTAAATCTGGAGCGTCCATTCGCACCCATGCCCACACGGTTTCCTGTTAGCCTGAATATAGTTAGCCAGTCTAGTTCACTTTACTTTCAATATCTTCATATGCACTGCAATCAAGCAAGGTGAATCGCAACATCTTTAACACGTCGAGGAACTTTGGCTTGATCCACCGAAGCAGGCTTACGGGTCGTTTGTGAAGTGAGAACGTTCTCGATCAACCATTGCATTGTTTGGGGCCACCCCTGTGCACTCATCAGTCTGGAGTAAGGATCTGCATGGCTTCTTGACCTCAGGCACATCAGCGGTCCTTCGAGTACCCGCGATTTTGTCTTTTCAGTATTGTACTCCGCACCATCCTGGCAAACCCATTTGGAATTTTGCTCTCTACTGACCATAAATTGTGGTTGAGAGACATGTGTTTTCTCCCAACAGCGGCCGGTGCCTCATATCGCCGGCCTCGGAAAAGCTATCGTCCGCTAAAATCAATCGCCACAAACTTGATCAAGTCCTGGCCTCACCCCTTTTCGATGAGTGTGATTTGTCGCCGAAAATAAAGCCAAACTCAGCCTCCAGAATGATGAATTCCAATGAACTTTAACAGAAAAAAAATTGGAGATCCGAAGCAACTAAGAGAAGCTCATTACCATACCAGAATTTAGCTCTCGTACTGGGCCTGGGACTGCAGCTTAGTTGTGAGCCTTCTGGGGCGTGAACCATGCAAAAAATACGAAAGCGAAGGACGAAATCACCCTTCATCTACGTGCATTCAGAATCAGAATTGTCTGTGCTGTTGCATCACAAGCTTCGCTAGCTGCAGAATGGATAAAATTCGAAGCATTCTCACTCGTTTTCGAAGACACTTTGGGCCTTCAGTCAGAACACCATGCGCGGACTTGGTCTTCGTCCTGCAAAAGCTTCTGCTTGCTTCGGAAGAGTACAAAGTATGACACACCGGTTAATGGTGGACATAACAGGTCTCGATTATTCCGATAGACTAAAGGTGATAAACTTCTAACTCTTCCAACAGGGGAAGCTGACACAGGACCTTAATGAGATCTTTTCAAGTCACTATGAATGCCATAGTATTAGACAAGGGGAACCTCCGTTTCCTCTCTAAGGACTAAGTGAGCGTCAGAGTGTCCGTACCAGAAATGATCTTTCACCATCGTGAATTGACAGCTTTGAGTTCCCAAGCTTTTTATCTATCACCGGCTAAGTATCTATTGAGAGCTTATAGCTCCCAAAACAAGGGCGGGACCTGTGCTGGCCTGACAGTTATAGACCATGTGTCAGACCCTCCCTATAAGTTCGCACAGAAAATCAACTGTTGAATTGCGCAACCAGTTTAAATCTGGAGCGTCCATTCGCACCCATGCCCACACGGTTTCCTGTTAGCCTGAATATAGTTAGCCAGTCTAGTTCACTTTTCTTTCAATAACTTCATATGCACTGCAATCAAGCAAGGTGAATCGCAACATCTTTAACACGTCGAGGAACTTTGGCTTGATCCACCGAAGCAGGCTTAGGGGTGGTTTGTGAAGTGAGAACGTTCTCGATCAACCATTGCATTGTTTGGGGCCACCCCTGTGCACTCATCAGTCTGGAGTAAGGATCTGCATGGCTTCTTGACCTCAGGCACATCAGCGGTCCTTCGAGTACCCGCGATTTTGTCTTTTCAGTATTGTACTCCGCACCATCCTGGCAAACCCATTTGGAATTTTGCTCTCTACTGACCATAAATTGTGGTTGAGAGACATGTGTTTTCTCCCAACAGCGGCCGGTGCCTCATATCGCCGGCCTCGGAAAAGCTATCGTCCGCTAAAATCAATCGCCACAAACTTGATCAAGTCCTGGCCTCACCCCTTTTCGATGAGTGTGATTTGTCGCCGAAAATAAAGCCAAACTCAGCCTCCAGAATGATGAATTCCAATGAACTTTAACAGAAAAAAAATTGGAGATCCGAAGCAACTAAGAGAAGCTCATTACCATACCAGAATTTAGCTCTCGTACTGGGCCTGGGACTGCAGCTTAGTTGTGAGCCTTCTGGGGCGTGAACCATGCAAAAAATACGAAAGCGAAGGACGAAATCACCCTTCATCTACGTGCATTCAGAATCAGAATTGTCTGTGCTGTTGCATCACAAGCTTCGCTAGCTGCAGAATGGATAAAATTCGAAGCATTCTCACTCGTTTTCGAAGACACTTTGGGCCTTCAGTCAGAACACCATGCGCGGACTTGGTCTTCGTCCTGCAAAAGCTTCTGCTTGCTTCGGAAGAGTACAAAGTATGACACACCGGTTAATGGTGGACATAACAGGTCTCGATTATTCCGATAGACTAAAGGTGATAAACTTCTAACTCTTCCAACAGGGGAAGCTGACACAGGACCTTAATGAGATCTTTTCAAGTCACTATGAATGCCATAGTATTAGACAAGGGGAACCTCCGTTTCCTCTCTAAGGACTAAGTGAGCGTCAGAGTGTCCGTACCAGAAATGATCTTTCACCATCGTGAATACAATCCATTCATCTCAGAGGGCGGCCCCCGGAACAACCTCTTACTTTTGGCGGCTAACGTGAGCTCACCTGTCACCCTTAAACGTAGAACGGAGAAGAAATATTAGAAACCACCCAATTATAAACACGGAATCTTTATATACTGGATTCACAGTGTGTGAATAGGATGAACGTGTCATGCATAAACTCCCGTAAGATGCCCTGCGAGGCAACTCAAAAACCCCGATAGAAAATGGGAAGGGTAAATCGGGTAAAAGTAGAAAGTAGAAGAAATACATGTATAAGGAAGAAAGCAAAAACTGTGAAGGGAGAAAAAAATGCTGGAAATGAGGAGGATAACGTGAAAATCATAATTTTTTCTTTTCCTGACGGAAAAGCTCCTCTTGTACTGTCTATCGCTAAGCAAGAGGAATTTTACATCGTGTTCGAGATTATGGACGAAGTGTTTGACACCTGCTTATGATTCTGACTCATTAGGTATAATACGTATCTTATGTCCATTGTACTTAACATGCCAATAGTATCGACGAACGTCGCACATTTTTCGGCTACTCAACTACCACAGATTGATACTTAGGTTCACATGTGAGCGGAACTGGACCACATATAAGTGTTGCAGTTTTAATGCGTCGCTCAAGCCTGCTGAATTTTCGCACGAAATTGAACATATTTCCATCTTCGCTGATCCATATGTGTGGAAAATTAGGTATGTTGTAGTTGCTTGTATTCAACTCTCGTTTGCAGCAATCGTTGCAACAGCAACTATCCAAGTGTTATTACTCTTCGGTTTGCCCTATGCAAATGCTGATTTCGCGCAAGAGACCGCTCCCAGATACTCCGTTAAAAACGGTGAATCCTACTGCTTATTGACAGAATTCCTAATGAAACTGGACTTGGTCTATGCTGTGGATGTGAGTTCCTATAAACTTCATTTCTGCGAATATTGATCGCACCATCTTCCCTAATTCTTGTCAGAAAAAAAATTCTTGAGATTTTTCTGATTGCGATGGATGTAGCTTTCAGGTCTTTGAAGAGATTGCTGTACTTCTGAGCTCCTTCTCATAATAGTATAAAACTTTCAACTCAGAACGTGTCTCTGGGTTTCTTTTACTCTTCTGTTGTCGTGTCCATGCTATACTTGCGAAGTTGACCGGTATACTGGTTAGCTTCGCAATCTGTACCACCGGTGGCGTGTTTGTTATTTGTGTGTTGCGCAGCAACTAACTAGATCCCCTGAGGTCGATAGAGCTAATATACAAAGCCAAATAACTGGGATACTATAGTGAAAAATCGACATGGTGGTCACCTATGTTGTGAATACACAGTCATCGCAAGCTTCAAGCATCATAGACCTAACTGGTGAGATGTAACCACACGTTGCCTCCTGAGACCGGAGGTCTGGGCTGAAAAACCTTGACTGAGATGAACTGCCAGTGTTTGCAACATGCGAGCGTGTGGTTTAATGCCCATCTTATGCACAGAAGTTTACATTGTTTGGTAACCTTTTTCGCACAACATGGGTTCAGTGCCCCGGACAATATGGCTACAGCGGATACAAAATGACCACTGTTGCTTCAGTGCCCAAAGTAACAATTACTCAGACGAGATATTATTAGTACTCAATGTGAATCATTTGAAGCGATTTCAACGCACTCCTTTTTTCAAGTGATCTTCTCTAGTAGTGCACTGTTGCGTATGAGCCGCCCGGATGGAAGTCTGAGATCCTCACGAGTGTGGTAACCGGTCATGAATGGGTAACTCTCTAGTGACTAAAAAAGGAAGCGCAGTAGGACTGGACTTTTCATTCTGGTCACTGAAAACTACAACCACAGCCATTGGTATCGTTGATGCCTACCCTTTAGAAACCATACGCTCATCTAGCGAAAAACCTCAGCTTAACTCACCATTGTGTGAATAGACAGTATGCGATAGGAGAAACTCATATTGATGGAAATTTCTTACTAAAAATATTCTTGTTATCCACCACACTTTCGGCCGCATTTTCCCTTGATATCCCAAATCCATCGATGCCATTTGATTTTTGATGGACTTGTGACCAAATTCCTTCGAAAATTAGGCCAATGTTTGCATGTAGTTAGCACTTGGATAGCACGAATTTCACTCGTGTGATACAAAAAGGTGCGATATGCTACTGAATACGGACAAACACCTTCGTGGCATGGCCCTCGCAGGTCAGATTCTTCAACGATTGATTACGTGTTAAGCCATCACACCTCATATCGTCATAATTTTATGCATGCTGGCTTCGATGAGGGAACGTAGGTATTATATCTTACTATAACGTAAAGCATCATCCAGTGTAAGGTTTGAGTATTGCGCATTTAACACCTATTATATCTTACTATAACGTAAAGCATCAGCTAGGTTTGAGTATTGCGCTTTGGACACCCTAGGTGGTAACAGGCAGTCACGGCACAAGACCACTAGTACTTGACACAGGTAGTCGTGCGGATTCAGTGCGCAGTTCACTGCATGCGGCAAGTACTTTCTGTGCGGTTTGGAAATAAGTCTGGATAAGTGTTTAAGCACCTCGGGCAACATCTACACCGAGAATATTGAGCTAGCTAGTCATACAATTTATCCGCAATTTCTCAACTCCTCATTCCTTATTTGGCGTAGAAGAACAATGCTGCTATTCTCTTCAACAATTCTCTAACTGTCCGTCTGGTTGAGCGTTCTCTGTCGGCTAATTTTAATTTTGAAAAATGAACAGTCACATCGAGGTAAGCAACTTTGGTGGAAGGGGGCACCCAATTATCAGTATGGAATTTTTTTACTATACTGTATATTAAGGAGAACTATCTGAATTTTCGTCGAATCGACCTTTGTAAACAGTGCTCACTGATTTATCAGAAAACTTGATTAGGCTTCACACTGTCCGGAAACCATAAATTCTATTAACTTCGTATCACTAATTACAGATAGCCTTGGTTTTGTCCTAACATTAAAAGTGAAACGTCTTAAATTACGAAATTCGTCCAATGATCTGCTATTGATCAAGAGTATAAATTACTTGAGAAGCATAGACGCTTTTGCGGTATATCGCTCTAGTCGTCTGATTGATTGGATGTATTTGCCAAGGACATTTTCCGCATTTCTACGAACTCCTTCTTGTCAACTAGTGATTATCACAAACTGGTCCAGTTTTTCAATGAAGCAAAACGTACTGAGGGTTCAAGATATATTTTGTCGTACTCTCTGGTTTGATGATCATAAGTGTTGTTTACAGCAGGACCCTTTGTAAAACATTTAGGATGTTTCCTTAGCATCCGTCACAATAGCTGAACAACCAAATAGTTGACTTTTTAGAAGCAACAGCACGTCAAGTACATGCGAGATCTGGAGGAGAGGTTGAAAACTCCACCAAACATTCTGTGTCAACGATGTTGTCAGTTTACTAGATCAAAATTAGATGTTGTTCCATGAAGAGTAAAAGTACTTAAACAACTAGCTTCACTGTGTTCTCAGATTGGTCCAGAGAGGACCTTGGTTCAAAACTCGGTTCTCCTCACGTTCGAACGGCATGTCCATGGAATAATGCATACACTCGTACCCAGAGTCTGTCACAGTAAATTTCACAACCTCAGCGGACTGGGCATCAACTTAGGCCTCCATACCATCGACAACTGAAGCAATGAACACCAGTCATCCATCAGCGTTTCTGAAGGATTAGTTGGGTTAAGCTAAACTAGGTTCCAGGTGCAGAAGGTCATGAACCCACAGGCTATCTTCGCTTTGCTTGCGGCCTTGTGTGCTCCTAGGCAATCTACCCAATGACCGGGACAAAATAATTCCGGCTTGTTGTTTCAATTTAAGCCCCCTTATTTGGAAGGTTCTGCATCTAAGTCCCAAACGCCTTCAAAAGGCTATCCAAAGAATGCACTAGTCTTTGAGAAAAAATATTGACCCTGATCTCGATCCAACCTCACTTTTGATGGGATTTTGTTGAAATTTATGGCAGTTTTCCTCTCTTAGTTCTACAAGAAACCCATGGGTGACTTGGGAAGTTCGATTTTTACTTTTTACCTTTAAGCTGTATTCGTTTCAAGTTGTGCGATTTTAATATACTTAATATTCCTATATATGGCAACACCAGTAAACCCAGTATTTACCTAGTTTTTTACAGAAAAGCGACATCCTCAAAATATTAAGGCCGGAACCGCACACAGTGCATCAAAAAAGGCTACAAATCTGAGCTATGCCAAGCTCAATGTGTATCGTTTTCTCCTACATGGACTCTTGTATTCGGTAGCCAGTATCACAGACCCTCTGGTGTAAGACTGTTAACTGGTGGTCCGCTGAACTTGGGACATTCTGAAAATCAAGGTGGTCTGTTCGTAGCTAGTCAACCCTGCGGTCTTCTACACTGCTTTCACTGTACTCTGAAAAGAGAACTTTGGGACGGAGCGGGTTTGTGGTTGCCTTGCGCTCCTTCTGGCCTTGTCGTAAAAAATCCTCTTTACTACATTTACTAGAACACTATCTGACATCCCTTCTAAGTTGGGACAACAGACGTCAGCTTTCACCATCCAGGTACAACACATTTGACTAGCAGACAAAGGAAGAGCCCAAGTTCTGATGTTTGTATTACATTTGTAATCGTTTTTGGAATTTTTAGATGGATTTTATCTGGACTGATTCACTTGTTTGGCTGAAAAAACTGGGATTTTATGTTTCTATGGACTACCAAATTGGTTGTCACAGTAGTTTGCCCAGCATATCAGGTTAGGTAGATGTTTTATACAGGCAGGTTGTACTCTCACTACTCTACCTGCTTTATTCACATTGTGAATGGCACCACATTTAGGCTGCATTTGGCGGCCTTCAATTAAGCACATATTCACAATGGCATTGACAACAGGACTCCGTAAACATTCGAGTGCGACTCTCATCACCGGTTGATTCCTTGGGCACACACCTTGAGGGCTTAGCGCATTTTATGTTTATCGGTACTCTCATTAGATTTGTTCACTTGAGAATAATTCCATTAAGATTTTATGACTTTATTTTATGAAGTACAGAACAGGCTAGGTTGTGTGGTTTTTATAAAAAATGTTCACCCCTGGTTATTTTACTCTACTGAGCCTTGCCGTTTGGCTTCCTGATACTACATAATTTGTCTCAGTGACTGGATTGAAAAAACAACGTTTGCTTTAGTGGTCCCGTGGTTTTGAAGTAAAGTTCTTCCCTATTCTGGTTCATTTTGATAGAGTCTAATGTCAGCTGAGAGCAACTGATGATACATTATCGCTTCTGGAGTTTTGGGTCGCGCTCACAAATGTGGTTGGCCATTGATTGTAAAACAGCCTATTTTCACAATACTACCTGTTTCATCACAAGTATGGAGCTGAGGAGAATATGAGTTATCCAGTGTCAACATCAGTGTTCAATGGTCCAGGACGAGTTTTCAACTATTTAGCACACAGTTTTGATTTCACAACCTGAGGTTGAAATAATGGTCTAGTGTTATTTTCCGGGCTCCAAGGTCGGCCATCATCACTCTTGTGCTTCTCGTTACTGTGCACTGTGGCCATTCTGTGCGGTTTGTCGAACCGAATTAACAACACATTATTAACACATGATTGTGAACTGGTGTATTAATATTTTTTAGCGTTGATTAGTCTACATTCAAAAAACCTCATAATCATCATTATTCACCACTTTAAAGGCGTGTTGCTAAGCTTGCATCCTAGAGTTTGTCCGCTTCACGTAATCATACTGCTTTGGAATGTCAAGAATTGTGCACTCACACAATATTATGTCGATTCCCAACAACGCATTGATGATGTCACCTCCGTTGGCGACAAACAGTTTGCAACAAAATCGTCAAGCTCATCAAACAACCCGACAACCGGCTAAAATATGGGTCATCGGCACTCTCTTCTACACT